AAGATAAAGGTACAAAGAATGAAGGGATGGATAAAGGGTAAGAGACTATAGAATGATACAAAGAATGAAGGGGTGGTCAAAGGAATGGAATGATGAAGTAAGGAAGGGTAGTGGCAAGAGTCAGCACACATATAGTTCATAGACAGCACCCCCAAGGGATGGAAGTCCCAAGTTCTAGTACAGAAGGGTGCAGAACCCTTGGAACTGAAGGTACAAGAGTGGAGAACTGTAACAGGCAGTAATCATCTTGATAGTAATCAGTCTATAAAGAGTTATAGGAAACAGTGTTTAGGAGAAGAGGTGAGTTAATTAGTTGTTTATTAGATAAATAATAGTCAGTTTGTTATACTAGGATCCAGGAGAAATCATAGAAAACAGAGGCTAGGTTAGTCAGTCAGTCAGTCAGTCAGTCAGTCAGTCAGTCAGTCAGTCAGTCAGTCAGAGTAGTAGATGACAGTTAGAAGAAGACAAGCTTGAGGGAGAGCCTTGAAAGAGGGTACACATACTGTACTAACCATACTATACAAGGTAATAGCCATAACACATATTGAGTATATACATATCTACAAATCAGATAAGAAACTACACTTATTATAGCTAAAGCCCTATTCCCAGAACATCTTCAAATTGCAAACCTCGTTCTGAAACAAGTGCAGAGGGCGTTTATTAAGCCAGCCACAGTACAGAAGTTGATGACAACAGCACGTGCTGACTATATGCACGTTTACAGTATAAGATAATGCATCTTATGCAGTTCCGTTCTGTTCCTGGAACATCTTCGGTATTGAACGAGCACAGGCCTGGGGGCGCTCATCAAGCCGACCTTAGAAAGGCCCTTCTAACTCGGTTTGCACGGTATGGTCAGAATCAGATGCAGGGATGTACAAAGCCATGGAACATCACTGTGGCACTGCCCGCTATCGAACTTCTCCCTGGCAGTCATCCTTGTCTCTAATCAACCTACAAGTTCCTGTCAAACTTGATTTAAACAGTATAAACGGATCACAGACCTTAATAAAGCCATAAATATTATGGAAGCTGATCACAACAACACGTGTTAAACTATATGTGCTATACAAAAGATGCCTCTTAGACGCCCAGCACCGAGATGCGGTGCGGCCAATGAAGAATATCAATACATTCATGAACTATGTTCATATTTCAGGCCGATCAAGAACATCGACACAGCATATCGCAGCACAGCATGATATTGACGGCAACAAGAATAGAACAGTTAAATTGCACGCGACGATTCAAATATCGACTTGAGAAACGAGCGCCGCTCACTCGCTCACCCTCAACACAAACACATTCGGCGCGACGAACCGCAATTTCTCCTTCGCTAGATCATCATCTCTCTCAAGTCCATCGAAGTACACTTTTCCAAATAGGCAGTCTTCATCCACCCCAACCAAAATAAGTACAGCATAAAATCTTAGTGAAAATCACTCCAACACATAATAAAAAGGGAGAAGCTCACCGATCCGCCGACATCTCGCGTACCCCACTGCATTCCCCACACCCCACATCCCCGATAATCCACTCGCGAACCCATCTGACTCGCGCCTCAACGCAAGTCTTTGTACTTTATCCTTATCGCGTGGGTTGAGTAGGTTGAACTCTGCTTCCGTCAACGGATTCTCCGTATACCTACACCACATAAACGTGCAGCAAAAGATCACATGAGCAACGCAAACGAGATACAAGAATAAGGAGAAGACGCACTCCTTCCACAAAGTCCCGCAAACATCCGCCAACGTCACACCCTTCTCATTCCTCACAATCGTACACCACGGAGCCGTTTTCGCCCGCAAGATGATCATCAATTCCGTCACCCGCGGTAACGTCGCACTCTCATCTTTCATCGTAAAAGCTAAATCGCGGTCTCCTCCTTTGATACCTACACAACGACCTGTAGGAGATCTTCATCGTTAAACAAAGACACAGAGAGTCGACTGTGATACGAGATGAGATGAATGGTGTTGTGTGCTCACTAACCGGTCATAAGGTTACACTCCAGCCGAAACGGATCGTACTTTTGTGCAAGGATAGGATGGATTTCGAGATCCGCTTCGAGGAGGTACAAATCCTTCGGTTTCAACACAGGCCCGACTACATGCCCATCCAGCAACACATCAGACAGACGCATTTATTTGCCCATAAACGAGAATACACTCACATCCAGGTTTCCATTTCAGCATTTCCGCCATCCGGACGAACTCGACGGGCTTGACAATGGAGTAGGAAGAAGAGCTGTTGGTTAGTGTAAAGAAGTCAGATGAGCAGTTCGGGTAGGGAACGGGGAAAGCATCGATATAGATTATGCTTTGATCCGAGGATTTGACTTTCCATTCCGGTCGAGTCCCGTAAGCAGCCAGATGTCAGTGTCATAATCGATGGATTTGATGAAATACATATGATGTGTTTTTGCATTGTTAATTTGTCGTACGCGAGGTACACAGCCCAGACGAAGGTGGTTATACAAGAAATACAATAGTTATCTGTTTCTGTAAATTTAAAAAAAAGTCTGTCTTGCGGTGCAAAATGCGAACATGGGTGGGCAGACTTACATCGGTCAAGACTACATCAGCATAAACCTAGTCATCCAAACTCAAATCCTTCGTTCGGTCTTTCAGCCTTTCCTCAATCTCCTTATTCCGTCTGTCCAACGCTTCAAGCCGCTCGTCCTTCGATGCATCATATGCAACAATCGTCTGGTTGAACCTATGTACAATTATTAAAAGGACAGTCTGATGAACGGGGAGGATTAGATTAGGGAAGTCGGGCTCACGGATTGTCTGGAGACTTTTGGAATTGCTTGTATAGAAGTTCCTGTATGATTATATCTTAAGCAAAGGAATTTAATAAGAGGCACTTGGTAGACTGACCCTGTACTGATTCAGCCGTAGACCAGGATGCTGAAATAGACGTTTATGAGCCATCCATGTTCTTGTAAAACGACAATACCCACATCTTGCCTAAGGGTAGGAAGCTCGCGTTCCTGGTAAGCTTCGAAGGCGGCCTGGATAGTAAAAGTTGAGAATCTTCAAGCATTCTCGAGAAGCACCGAATGCATACCTTGAACCGACGCTACAAGTATTCATCAGCACCTACTTCACGCATATATACGCCACAAAACAACCACTCACCTCAGGATGTTTCTCAAGTCCCGCAGCCTGCTGACCCATACTCGCTTTATCCTTCTTCGCAGTCACAACCTCCATCATCGCAATCGCATCATCAATCCCCGTCGCCGCAAACGACTCAGCCTCTTCCTGCCCTCCCTTGCCATCATCAACACTCTCTTTCGGACTCAAGGGGACAGCTGCCAGACCACCACCTGCTGCGAGCGCACCAGGTCCTGCAGGTTTCGCAGAAGCACCTGCAGCAGCGGCTTTCTTCTTTGCCCCTGCTTTCGGTGTTGGTTTCGGTTTCGCTGACGCCGAGGCTTCCTCTTCTGCTAGAAGCTTTTCCCGCTCTGCTTTTGCGGCCAGAGCCTCCTTGCGTTTCGCCTCTTTCTCCTCCTTGGCAGCCTTTCCCTTCGCTCCTGTCTCCCATTTCGCTGATTCCTTCCTTTCCTATAAAATAATACAGACAGTAATGAGCCATTTTGATGCGCATAGATGAACAATATATGTCCGAGATATTTGGGATGACGGAAAGTAGGGATACCTTTTCTTCTTCGGCTGCTTGTTTCTTCTTAGCTTCGTTCTCTGCCTTTTTAGCGCGTCCTGACTCTTTCTTTGCGTTGCCTCCTTTTGGAGCCATATCGATTGGGTAGGATGTAGAAGATGGAAGAGATGGTGGTTTAGATGAAGGAGCAGCCTTCTTCAAGTTCTTGAGCCTTAACCTGACTGATCATTACATGACGATCATGTGATCTCTGATGTGATAGAAATAAAAATTGGGATTTAAACGCCCTGCACTCAAAATAATTTGAGAAATTATCTGACGATTGGAATGGCAGTATTGAAGAGTGCTGTGCTGGAGCGGAAGGTTAATACGGACAGCAGAATTTTGCATTGCTTGTCGCAATAACCTTGAAAAAAAGAAATATTGCGTGAAACAGTATTATTTCCTGTGAATTTCCAAGGGGAGGAAGTATGTTAGATGAGTGGTGATTACTGATGTATATATGTACGTGATGTAAATGGAATGTTGATCTAAACAAGAAAAGTCGATAATTAGCTTTTTGGCTGCGACTCCGGCTCAATGCTGGCCATCTCATCTGCTAATGCTAAAATGGCGTTACTTTACTTCGCGTTAATATCAGTATCAAACAACTCACCAGAAACCACCGAGTCTTCCGACATATCCTCACCAACCGTCCACCTCGCGAACTCACTAACAGCAATCCCCTGATACTCCTCCACCGCATTCTTATCAAACAACCCCTTCTGCTCCGCCCACAACTGTAAGACGTTCTTCACAGGTTGTCCAGCAAACTCTCCAGGAAACAAAGCGAACGGTTGTTCATATAATACGGTTTCAGGGCTACCGTTGACTAGTCGAATAGACCGAGTGTCGTACCCGACGATCTGACGCGCGAGAGCGCGTTCGAGTTTCTCGAGGTCAGAGAGGAAGCCTTCTTTCGCGAAGACTTCCTTGAGGTTGGGAGTTTTGAGGTAAGTGAGTGCGAGAGTGCCCATACGGCCTCGTGTTGGGTCTGTTGTGGTCCCATGGACGTATGAAGCGACCCGGATACCTGCTTGTACGGACTCGGGAGCTGGGGGGAGAACGACGCTAATCGCGCGTCGAAGGGAGATGTTTTCGCCGACTTTGGCGATTGTGTCACGGATGGCGGAGCTAACAGTAGCCGTCGAAGACAACTCAGAAGGTGAGTTCTTCTGCATTAACGGTGCATCGAGGAGAGATTCTAAAGGGAACGGTCGAAGCAACTTCGGGTTTTCCTGAAAGTCCTCAGGAGCCTCTGCATGAAACGCAGTCGTATGTGCAATATCCGACACCAACTTCCCAAACAACTCGTTCCTCCCAACGAAATCCGTCTCGCAATTAATCTCAACCATACTAGCTCTCACTCCGCCCGTTCCTTGTCCATAGCCAGGTGAAAGTAACGAAACAGCTATAAGACCTTCCTTCGTTTCTCGTCCCCCGACTTTCTCTGCCTTTTTAGCGCCTGAAACTGCGAGGTCTTTTTGAATCCATTCTAATGCTGCTTCGAGGTCGTTGTGAGATGCGATGAGAGCTTCTCGGGCCTTTGAGATTGAGATTTCG